ATGGAGATGTTTGGGATGGAGAAGTTGGGGATGGATGGATGGATGGAGAAGTTGAGGTTGGATGGAGATGTTTGGGATGGAGAAGTTGGGGATGGATGGATGGATGGAGAAGTTGAGGTTGGATGGAGATGTTTGGGATGGAGAAGTTGGGGATGGATGGATGGATGGAGGGATGGATGGAAGGATGGATGGATGGAGGGATGGATGGATGGATGGAGAAGTTGGGGTTGGATGGAGATGTTTGGGATGGAGATGGATGGATGGAGATGGATGGAGATGTTTGGGATGGAGAAGTTGGGGATGGAGGGATGGATGGATGGATGGATGGATGGAGAAGTTGAGGTTGGATGGAGATGTTTTGGGATGCAGATGTTCAGGACGGATGGATGGATGGATGGAGATGTTTGGGATGGAGAAGTTGGGGGTGGATGGATGGATGGAGGGATGGAGGTGCTGGGGTTGGAGACATTGGATGGTTGGGGATCGATGGAGATGTTGGATGGATGGAGATGGATGGAGATGTTTGGGATGGAGAAGTTGGGGATGGATGGATGGATGGATGGAGAAGTTGAGGTTGGATGGAGATGTTTTGGGATGCAGATGTTCAGGACAGATGGATGGATGGAGATGGTGGATGGACGGAGATAGACAGATGGAGGGATGGATGGAGATGTTGGGGATGGAGACGTTGGATGGATGGAGACGTTGGGGTTGGAGAAGTTGGGGTTGGAGATGTTGGATGGATGGATGGATGGATGGAGGGATGGATGGATGGAGATGTTGAGGTTGGAGATGTTGGATGGATGAGGATGGATGGAGACGTTGGGGATGGATGGAGATGTTGGATGGATGGAGAAGCTGGGGTTGGAGAAGTTGGGGTTGGAGACGGGGACGGAGTCATTGGGGGTGGAGATGGGGATGGATGGAGGCGTTGGGGATGGAGAAGTTGGAGATGGAGACATCAGGGATGGAGAAGTTGGGGATGGAAATGCTGGGGTTGGAGAAGTTGGATGGATGGAGATGTTTGGGATGGAGAAGTTGGGGATGGACGGATGGACGGAAGGACGGATGGATGAGTTGGGGATGGAGATGTTGGAGTTGGAGATGTTGGATGGATGGGGATGGACGGATGGATGGAGATGGATGGAGACGTTGGATGGATGGAGAAGTTGGGGATGGAGACGTTGGATGGATGGAGAAGTTGGGGTTGGAGATGTTGGGGATGAAGAAGTTGGATGGATGGAGACGTTGGATGGATGGAGACGTTGGGGTTGGAGAAGTTGGGGTTGGAGATGTTGGATGGATGGATGGATGGATGGAGACATTGGATGGATGGAGATGTTGGGGATGGAGACGTTGGATGGATGGAGACGTTGGGGTTGGAGACGTTGGAGGGATGGAGAAGTTGGGGTTGGAGAAGTTGAGGATGGAGAAGTTGGGGTTGGAGAAGTTGGGGTTGGAGAAGTTGGGGTTGGAGAAGTTGGGGTTGGAGAAGTTGGATGGATGGAGAAGTTGGGGGTGGAGATTTGGAGTTAGAGAAGCCGGGGGTGGAGACGTGTGTCCGGCCCCTCACCCCGATGGCGTAGCGGGTGACGGCCATGCTGTCGGCCAGCGGGATGACGTCCCGGTACTCCAGCTTGTCCCCGTACTTCTTGCCGTCCGTGACCACGATGAGCACCTTGGAGGCCCCGCCCCGCGCCCCTCGCTCCGCCCGGAACAGCCTCTCCCTGGGGGGGGGGAGAGGGGTGGGGTCCACGGGGGTGTCCCTGACGTCCCCAGGACCCTTGAGGTGTCCCCGGTGTCCCCACGACCCCTGTGGGGTCAC